AAAAGGCCTTTTAAACAAGCAGAATACAGTTTAGTTTTGTACCGCTTAAACACATCTGTTATCATCTGTTAGCACTTAAACAATAAACTGGACTGGACAGACAACACTGATGCTCTCTTCAGGAAAGGACAGAGCAAGCTGCTCTTCCTGAGGAGGCTCAGGTCATTCAATGTGTGCACGAGGCTGCTGCAGATGTTCTACCAGTCTGTGGTGGCCAGTGTGCTCTTCTTTGCCGTGGTGTGCTGGGGTGGAAACACAAACAATAGGGACACTGGCAGGATGAACAAGCTCGTGAGGAAGACTAGCTCTGTCGTTGGAGTACAACCGGACAATCTGGAGGAGGTGGCAGAGGGGAGGACGAGGAGGAAGCTCGACAGCATCCTATTGAAGCACCCACCCACTCCATGCAGAGCTAGTGAAGATGAGGCGTACGTTCAGCTACAGACTCATCCCTCCACGACACAGCACCAAGTGCCTCGGACAGTCCTTTGTGCCTGCAGCCATCAGGCTGCACAACAAGGGGTCAATAATGTAAATAAATAAAATCACTGGACATAAATATACACTGTTTCCACAACCCATGTTAATATATTAGTAGACCAAATATGTAGATAGATATTACATTACATTGCATTTAGCTGACGCTTTTATTCAAAGCGACTTACAATAAGTGTGTTCGACCAACAAAATATAAACTTGAAGAAAACAGAATCATATAACTTTATTAGTATATAAGTGCTTTGTTAATAATTATATCGCTCGAAGTGGAGTCGAAAGAGATGAGTTTTCAGTCTCCCCCAGAAGATGTGTAGGCGTTCTGCTGTCCTGATGTCAATGGGAGCTCATTCCACCATTTTTGAGCCAGGATAGCAAACCCACGTGTTTTTGCTGATGGGAACTTGGGTCCCCCTTGCAGTGCGGATGCAGCGAGCTGTTTGGCTGATGCAGAGCGGAGTGCACGTGCTGGGGTGTACAGTTTAACCATGTCCTGGATGTAGGAAGGGCCAGATCCATTTGCAGCATGGTACGCAAGTACCATTGTCTTGAAGTGGATTCTAGCAGTTACCGGAAGCCAGTGAAGGGAGCGGAGGAGCGGCGTGGTGTGGGAGAATTTAGGAAGGTTGAAGACCAGGCGAGCCGCTGCATTCTGGATGAGCTGCAGAGGTCGGATGGCACATGCAGGTAGACCAGCCAGGAGGGAGTTGCAGTAATCAAGGCGTGAGATGACGAGAGCCTGGGCCAGAATCTGCGTCGCTTTCTGGGTCAGCTGGGGACGTATCCTCCTGATCTTGTAAAGAGTGTATCTGCAGCAGCGGGTTGTAGCAGCGATGTTTGCAGTGAAGGACAGTTTGTTATCTAGGGTCACACCCAGATTCCTTGCAGTCTGAGTCGGGGAAACAATAGAGGTGCCGATGTTGATTGTTAGGTCAAGAGAGGGACAATATTTTCCCGTAAAGAAAAGCAGTTCAGTCATGTCAAGGTTGAGCTTGAGGTGGTGAGCAGACATCCACTGAGCTAGACAAGCAGAGATGCGTGCGACGACCTGGGTGTCTGAGCGGGGAAAGGACAGAATTAATTGGGTGTCGTCAGCGTAGCAGTGGTATGAAAAACCATGCGGGCTAATGACAGATCCGAGCGAGTTTGTGTACAGGGAGAAGAGGAGGGGACCAAGAACAGAGCCCTGAGGGACCCCTGTAGTTAATTGACAAGGGTCGGACTCGGACCCTCTCCAAGTTACCCTGTAGGTACGGTCTTTGAGGTATGAGGTGAGGAGGGAAAGTGCAGAGCCTGAAACTCCAAGTTATTGGAGAGTGTGAAGGAGGATCTGATGGTTCACCGTGTCGAATGCAGCAGACAGGTCCAATAGGATGATGACAGAGGAGAGGGAGGCTGCTTTAGCAGTGTGTGGTTCCTTAGAGACAGCGAGGAGAGCAGTTTCTGTTGAGTGACCTGCCTTGAAACCAGACTGGTGCGGATCCAGAAGGTTGTTCTGATGGAGATAACAGGAGAGTTGTTTAAAGACAGCGCGTTCAAGTTTTTTAGACAGGAATGGGAGGAGAGAGACAGGCCTGTAGTTTATAACATCGGATGGGTTGAGAGTGGGTTTATTTAGGAGAGGGTTTACTCTTGCCTCCTTGAGACTGTTTGGAAAGTGACCAGAAGTTAGAGAAGTGTTGATGAAATGGATGAGAAACGGTAGAATATCAGGAGCGATAATCTGAAGGAGGTTTGAGGGAATAGGGTCCAGAGGACAGGTGGTAGGACGGGCAGAGGTAATGAGGGTAAGAACCTCACTTGGAGAGAGAGGGGAAAAGGAGGTTAGTGTGTGGGTGAAAGGTGGGTCTGGTGACCCAGCGGTGAGTAGAGGTGAGTCAGAAAAAGAAGAGCGAATATCATCAACCTTTTTTTCAAAGTGGTTAACAAAGTAGCTTGACAGAAGAGAGGAGGGGGAAGGGGCTTTGGGGGGGTCCAAGAGGGTGGAGAAGATGGAAAATAGTTTTTTGGGATTGGAATAGGAAGAATGGATCTTATCCTGAAAGAAAGTGCTTTTTGCCTGAGAGATCGAAGCAGAGAAAGAGGAGAGGAGAGCCTGATAGGTTAGGAGGTCGTCATGGTGTTTGGATTTCCACCGTTTCCACTCTGCTGCCCGAAGGACGGTTCTATTAGCACGCAGTGCATCATTTAGCCAGGGAGCAGGAGGAGACTGACGAGCCTGCCGAGATGTGAGAGGACAGAGAGAGTGCAGAGAGGATGAGAGAGTAGAGAGGAGAGTTTCTGCAGCAGAGTTTGGAGGCAGGAGTTGGAACGAGTCAGAGGAAGGTAGGGCTGAGAGCACCGATGAGGCAAAGGTAGAGGGGGAGAGGGGGAGAGGGAACGAAGGTTGCGGCGGACAGGTGCAGAATGAGAAGAGATTAGTTTGTTATGTTTGGAAAGGGGTAGAGAGAATGATACGAAAAAGTGATCCGAGGTGTGGAGCGGGTTTACAGAGAGGTTAGAAGTAGAGCAGTTCCTTGAGAATATGAGATCAAGGACATTGCCAGCTTTATGAGTTGGTGGGGATGGAGACAGTGAGAAGGCAAAGGTGGTTAACAGAGATGTTAGTTTGTCTATCTTCCCTGTCTGGAGGTTGAAGTCTCAGAGAAGTACAGCGGGAGGGCCAGTTTCAGGGATGTGTGAGAGGAGATTATCTAATTCCTCCAAGAAGTCCCCCAAGGCACCTGGTGGACGGTAGAGAACAACAATGGTTAATTGTGATGGGTTACTGTGACGGCATGGAATTCAAAGGTGGAAGGAGTGAAGTTAGGTAGCTTGAAGAGGGAAAAGCTCCATTTGGGAGAGAGCAGGAGACCAGTGCCACCTCCTCTGCCAGTGGGTCTGGGTGTATGGGTGAAGAAATATGCTGTGGAGAGAGCTGCTGGGGTGGATGTGTTGGATGGAGTAATCCAGGTCTCAGTGAGAGCAAGGAAATCCAGGGACTGCAGGGAGGCGTAGCCAGAGATTAAGTCAGCCTTAGGAACAGCTGACTGGCAGTTCCACAGGCCACCTGTAACTAGATGTTGGATCTCAGTGGAGCATGTGGGATAGACGAGAGTAGGGCGGTTATATCGATTAGGAGATACACGGGGCCAGTGATAATTGCGAGAAGACACATAAACAGGAATGGAGAAAATACACATGATTATAGCCTGAGGGCCTGAGGGCTAAACAAATTAATTAAATAAAACACCAGCGATACTTAGCTCAATCAAAGTAGGATTTGCCTCCCTCATGACTCCAGCAGGACTCCTTTGTCTTTGTCAGTCTTAGTCTGACGCTGAAGCTGACGCTCCAGGAAAGTGCTACCTAAAATGGACACCTTATTGCTGAGTTCTTAAAGCTGTTTTTGTATCACTATATGTACAGATGTCCATTTTGACTTGTCACTTTAACTCATTTCGTACTTCATAATTTATATGACCAAATATGTATATATGCTGACGGTTATTTTACTCTTATTTTTACTCATCTCCTATTTCATAGTCTTTTATTATTATTATTATTATAATTATTATTTTTTTTCTGGATTTTATTTTTTATTTTATTAATCTGTGTGAATCTGTGCTGTCCTGTTTTTCACGCTTAACCTGTTGCTGCTTGTACAACTGAATTTCCCCACAGGGATTAATAAAGGTCCATCTTATCTTATAAAGCACTTACAGTAACTGCAGCTACATCCTGTTAACTCTTGCTCTACTGAGCTCTTCCATCCACTTTTGTGCTTCTTTTGCACGGAACTATAATGAATCATATTTTAGATATTCTACTTATCCTACTGTTAATAATTAAAGCTCCATTCAGTTACATGTGGTCTTAAATTCTTGATAAAATGTACCAGATCTTTATTGTTTCCTAGAAAACAAAATGGAATTTCCTACTGAATCAAATCAAGCAACACGTTGTGGTAATGACATATTTAGTCATATAAACTGTTGACCAGAATACTGTATATGTTGGAAGTGTGTTGTGTGTTAGATTGTACAGGCACTGCACTGGCCCATATGTTGAACACAATATATAGTGGAAGCAATGTGGGAGAGGATTTAGGACAAGGCTACATCAGAATAGACAACATCACAAAGAGGACATAAGTACAGGATTATTGGCGATGTCAATATAGTGTCAGGCTCAAAAAAGGCAAAATGGACAGACATAACTACAAAATATATATGTATGTATTTAGTTTTTATTCAATAACTAACATTATTTGACTGGGAAAGACTAAAATGTCATTTTTTATCCTGTGTGCATGAATAAATTGGCATCTTTGCGTTACAGCAGTATTTACAGGAAGAGAGACCAAAAGAAGAGGGGGAAAGAGCGGACAGATGAAAAGTGAGTGATGGATACAGGAGGAGGGATGAGAGGGATGAGAGAAGGAGGAGCAACAACAGTGGGGAGATATGCCTCAGATTATCAACCAGAATCAGATGCTCTAGAGACAGATAAATAGGAGGAGTTGACAAGAGCGTGACAGGAGGAGAGACAGAGAGAAAGGGGACGTCTCTGTGCATGCAAGCTGGACTGAAAAGATGACAGACGCCAAAAGTGTATCGTCCACGGAGGTGCCAGAGGGGAAGTTAATAAAGAAGGTCAGTAGATATGCCAAAATATGACTTTGCTGTGCCTTAAATCCTTGGTGCTTAAACTCAACATGGTTTACTGTGGTGACCCAGTGTTCGTCTTCTATGGCCTGACTGGCATGACACACTATTTACTACTAACTAAATAGTAAAAAAAAAAGTGTATTTTTGCCACAAACTGAATTATTGTTGTTTTTTTTGTGTTCAAGAAAAACATTTCAAAGCAGTTACAGAGCTTTTCTCTTAGAGCTGGTACAATAAAACGGTAACACTGTCACCTAAAGAATTACTTTGTCATACAATTACACTTTCTTCTCAATAACCTTACTAACCCTAACCCAACATTTAAGGAAATGTTTTTCAACATCTCTCAAAACTATTCGGTGGTTCGGCTTACGTTTAACATAAAGTTAGAATGAATTAATCTTGACTTTATTGAAGTCCTGTTTGATTGACCAATCCTTTTTCTGATGCGGTCTTCTCCAAACATGACTTTGTACAGATTTGTTTGTGTATGTGAGGAAAAAAATGCAGACCAGACGTATGAACTTTATTTGTCAAGGACCAGGCAGAAAAATAGTTATTTTAAATGATAAATTAGATGTGCATTTAATTTATCCTCCAGGACAGGAGTTGTGCGAGTCTTTATAGTCTACCTCCCTGCTCTAGCTTCTTTCCCTTAATCTTTTTCTGACGCTTTCCTTTTCAGGACTTCAATCTGGGTGGAAATGTGCAAAAACTTTAATATATGCAGTAGTGAATTAATTTCATATATTTACCTGCTGTCAGAATACCTGCATGAATAATCATCTCTTTCAGTTCTTTTTTTCTTTTTGTGAGACAGCTTTCCCATTTCATGTTGTTTTTATTCATCCCTCATTCTTCAGGGTTCCATCAAGAAGAAGATCGAATCATTAAGGCGATGGAGTTCGGCTAGCTTAAAGAGGCCTCCAAGGCCCAAGGCCAAGACCCTGAGTCTATCTTCCCCAGTGGGGGACCCTGAAGAACTCTGGCTGCAAGAGGGAGACAGGAGAAAGCTTCGACCCATTGTCGACTCAGTCTTTGGGCAGGTAGGACTCTGAACTGGGTGTGGCTCCTGGTTTCTTCAGCTGTTATTTTGATTGTGAACAGTCTGATTTGTTTCTTGAATCAGATCTCCAAGCACTGTTAAATAACACGTGGTACGATCAAGTTTGTGTTCAGCCCTCACCAACCCATCTGCATGGGTTGCTGTGGTAACAGTTCAGTCATCAGTAGCTACAAAGCTACCATGGTGACAAAGTAACATGAGAAATCGAGGTTCATCAATTTTCCCTCCAAACAATTGCACTGTTAAGCTGGGGTGAAGAACATTTCCATTGCCCGAGACAAACTTAGCCCCAGACGAGGCCAGAACCCATTGGGATGTTCTGTTCTGACATGTTGTCCATCTTGCTCTGCTGTTTTTTTGCCATACATATTTTTCATTTCATTCATCGAAAAAGACAATTTTGGCTGACATCTTAAAAAAATATTGCTGTTTCAAGTGGTGTTGTTAACCTGTCCGTTATGTCAATGCTGGAGAGCAGAGTACATAGGACCCAAATACAGAAGACAGTTTCTTTAAATAAAAGTCCTTTATTGGCGATTGACCCAGAATTCACAGGCAATGGGCCCGGCAAAATAAGGCAAAAACCCAAACCTAACCCTCTGAAAATAAAACGTCCAACATAAAGACTGACAACAACTGAATGAAAAACCAGAACAGAAAATGCACACAAGACTAATCACAAGAACAAGACAGAGGTGAGGAGTGAAGAGAAACACAGGTGACCCAGGTGAACCAATCAGGTAATCAAACAGGAAGCAACAACAGACATTTTATCTAAATAAAACAGGAAAACAAAGACAGATCTTGACATGACAAAATAAAACAGGGAAAACGAATACGGATTATAATGTTTTATATGCTGTCTGACAATGATGCAACTAACTCAGCCAGACATAGTGCTTCTGTCAATAAATGAATTAATGGACATCCCGACACTCTGAGAAGGTGAAAGGATGTCTCAATGCTACAACAAGTTTAAAAGTGCTCTAGATTTCAAAGCATGTTTATGATTGCTGGATTGCCTGGACACAGATCTTAGGAAAGCAATTGTTGGCAGCTTACACTGCTAGTGCCGTTAGTGCCGCTAACAATGTTATCCTGGGGGTGGGGTGCAAAATAACGGCCTTTAGCTAGCCAGTTGGGCAGCTTTGGCTCAGGATACAGAGCAATCGGAGGGTGATTCGATCCCTGGCCCCTGTGGTTTACACGTAGAAGTGTCAGTTGGCAAGATCATTTTGAGAACCATAGTTTAGATGAAATAAGAACCGTTGCTTGGCCTGAAAACAAAGATTTCCTATTTCCAGTAACTATTGTTACTGTTTTCAGATAAGTGGGTCCCAGCTTTGTTTGTAACTCGTTGGCGCACATACAAATGCATAAACTCATGTTACTCAACGCTTAGTTCTACAGTACGACCGGTTTCTGATCACCCCCCCTTCAGCCGGATTTACTGATTAAATGAAATCGCAATAATCTATAATGTGTTACAGCCTAAACCAAGACCTGCCATAGGACCATGAAAGCAAATTTTGCAGATAATCTATCCAAACACTTGGACATAACTTACTCTCATTTGATAATACAAGTCCACTATTCTGCCACAGATGTAACGTTTCCTTCTTCTTTATGCCTCTGCATATTCCTTAAAAAGTGTTCTGGGTTGTAAAAAAGTCTGAATGTGTATTTAGATGGACCCTGCCTAAAGAGAAACAGCTACAGTAATGGTTGAGTCTTGTTAGATATTTTTTTAGATGTGGTTGATTTGATGGTTCATAGAGTGTTCTTGTAATTTAAGGTTTGTGGTTTTATTGGAGAAAATAAAAAATATGTTTTCATTTTGATTAAGGGATTAACTAGCCTAACTAACTAGTAACTAGCTTGCTACTTAGCGTTACTTTAACTATCAAGCAGCGTATATTATTACGCGGGGTAAAAGGTTACGCACAAATGTTTTACTTCAATCACTTCTAACTTAGTGTTCTCAAGAAAAGGCTTGTAGCATCCATAAGAGTAGAAATGCTACAGAGTGAATGTTCTAGTCATGTACGTGGATTCATGAACACATTTTAGCGTAATCTGTCATATTAACATACTGATATGCTGCTTGATCGTTAAAGTACTGCTAAGTAGAAAGCTAGCTAACAGGAAATGCTTAGCATTAAAGTTTTATTCAGGCACTTAACATTTAGAATATCTTTGCTATAGTATAGAGAGGCAAAAAATAGACTTCTCATTCTCAGTTGTCATTGTACACTCAAAACAAAGAATTGTGAGTTACAGATTAGAAGCCTGCGTTTGTACTTCTGTCTGAATCTATCTGACATACTGTAGTGAAAATTGTAAACTGAGTATTTGGCTTGTATGAGCTAAAAGCATGAAAGGGAACAAGGCGGTCAATTTGGGGGACTTTGGGTCAAAATGCCATGTTTAAAAAAACATCATCAACTCCACTTTAAATACTTTTTTTTCTCTTCCTCAATTTCCCCTGTTTAAACCCTCCAGTACTCATAGTGCAGTTGAGTTATCCATACACTCCGCAACAGATGGAGTGAATGATGAGAAACTGAAGAAAGGGAGAGCTGGGATGAGAGATGGATTGATGGATGTCATAAAAGAGAGAAGAGATTGATTGGAATGTAAATGGAGATTAAAGCTTAAAACCAGTGAGAGGACAAGACAGTCGGTAAGACTGGCGTCACTGCAGAGACTGCACTTGAGGAACAGGATGTATTTTTGCTGTCAAACGACTGTGTACATACTGTACTAATCCAGGTCCAAATCATTTTAATTACTTAGCGGGCAAATTGTATGTCCCCTGTCCACTATGAGTTATTTTATGTTGTGAATGAGTTATAGGGATTTTTCACAGTTTATTTTAGGTTGAATAGAACAAGTGAATACAAGTTGATATACGAGCATGCTGTTGTTTTCTTTGTTTTTTTATTTGTACCTTTATTATTAGTACAGACGTTATACAGGACATGGCGGCCTACTCTAATTACTGTTGTGTCAATTCATTTGGAATCTTAACATTCACATATTATAGGCTGTTCTACCTTTTTTTCCTTCCGTCTTGTGTCTTTAAATCTCCCGTAGACAATAGTTGTCTTAATAAATAATTCTATGAACAATAGAACAACTAATGCCAGCTTCCCGCTAATTGTTCATTATGAAAGTTGAATATTTTAAAGATATATCACTATGTCGAAACAGATCAACAATGTCTTCCTGTGACTAACTCTTGGCCATCCAATTGGTCTGAGCGTATGTGGAATTGAGGTGGGCTCCGGTCAGAGCTGGCTGCTAGCGACCTGAGACGGCCCCCGCCTGTCAATCAAGGCAGCCACATCTGTAATAATGCATACCGTTAAACCTTAACATAATCACATCTTTTTTTTTTCGCAGGCTGAAAATATGTTTCTGCTGGCGTTTTTCCATGGAGATTAGCACATGTAAAATGGCACAAAATTAAATAGGTTCATTACAATATAACCAACCCGGTATCACGGCAAGACCTGGGGCCTCATTTATAACACCTTGCGTAGGATTCACGTGGGAAGGTTACTTACGTAGTACAAAGCAAAAAAATAGGTACAGAAATGTTCCGACATTTTCCGATTCACAAAACATTGCGTACCGGCGAGGAAAGTGCGTACAGCACTTCCTACGCCGGTTTCCCTTTATAAATCACAATCAACTCGAAATGCGGCGCAGATTTTGCGGGCTTCACGTAACGCCCATATTTGCCTATAAATAGTCAAAGAAACGCCCATTCATTCATTCATTTTGACTGACTTTATGAAGGAGATCGCAGGAAATGACGACAGAACAGCTAAAAAAGACATCTCACACCGTGTCAGATTTTGGTTATTTTGGGGAGGTCGAGATAAATCATATTGTTTGGTGGATGCAGTTTGAACCAGAGTAGCAGCATGGAGGTCGGATCGTCACCAAAATAAATAAATAAGTGGTCCGAAAAAGGTTAATGACAAAAGAAATACACATAGCCTTCCTCAGGCAGTGTGTTTGTACCGGGAACAGGAGACACCTCCTTGATGAGAAACTCTAAGAAATGATCGGGGAATCCCTCCGGAGTGGAGTCATATTTTTTTGTATTTGGTGGTGTGTGTTCCAGCTGTCAATCAGCAACTATATATCCATAATCCACCAGTTAAAAGGAAATATAACTAATGTGTTGTGTTGTATTAGCTGTACAATTGACCACATATGGTGTTCTTAGTTTCCAAACCTCCTGTGTTTTACCAGCGACTTATCAAGTAGGCTATTGGCAAATGGCATAAAACTGTAAAAATGATTAAACATGATAGTATATAAAACCATGCTCGTATCTATACAACCTATAGAAATGCAAAACGGCGTCATTTTAAAGTAATTCTATCCTGTTTACCGCATCATTTATGAGAATACATTTCTTAACAACAGAAATTAATCGAGGGGTGATCAATAACATTTCCGTATTTATTTATTTCTCCAAGTTATGTTTTTGTGTGCACTGAGGAGTCTCAAACAGGCGTTTGTTTAATCATTTTAAGTGTGAAGCTGACCGTTGAGCGGCCCGACCAAGCAAGGAGGCAGATAATTCAAATATAACCCGGTGTGGGCATTTATTCACCGCTGTGGTACAGGATACACAGCCTCAATATTGCTGCCCAGGTGAACACAGTCACCAGCCACAAGGATCTCACCCACACTACCAGCCTTCACCAAACAGGAAACACAGAGCCTAAATACACACCCACTAATCAGCAATTAGACACAGGTGAGGGGGGAGCAATTAGACACAGGTGGGGGGGGGGGGGGGGGGGGGGGGGGAGTTTCGACAACACAGGGCACCAGGTGAACATAATCAGGAGTAACAGAAAGAACGGGAGGGGGAACACTTTTCAAAATAAAAGACATGTGCAATATACAAGGCCCGAAGCAGTCAGTCAACAGTGACGAAGTTACCTTCGTCACATT